GCATTTTGGTGTTCATGGTTCTCTAAAATTGATGTAATATTCAAGAATGCTTAAGAACTTAAGCTGATGGAAGCAGCTGGCAAGTGGGAAGGGTGGGATGTTGGATGATGAGGTGCCTTACTCTGGGAATTGAGGGGGGAAAAAAAAAGACCAAAATGGAATCAGACAGTTCTAATCTTCTCACTTTGGTGAAAGAAACTCAGAGAAAAATAGGACATGAAAGAAAAGGGAGGGAGGAATGAAAGTGAACCTAGGGCTGATGAAAGAGAACACATCAGAGAATACTCCTTTTTCTCCCTGCAGGACAAACTGAGCAACGTGGCTCACTCACATCAGTCAATGGCCCAAGATCCAAGGCCAATCTGAGTTTAGGATTACTGTCAATTGATTAATTAGTTTCCTTTCTACCTATTTGCTGTAAAGAAAACTTAATTCTCCCTATTACAGAAAAGTCATACATAAGAACTAGCAGGCATGTATGTACAAAGAGTTGGCTACAGAAAAGCACTCAAGATCAGAGTTTTTTCCACAGGGATCTAGATACCTGTCTTGCAGTGCTCTAAGAGAATGAATATTCTCATGCCTAAGGAAAATAAGTTAGATTTGCTCAGGTTTTCCCAAAGATACTGAGCCAATCAAGTTCACTGAAACAACTAACGTAAAAAAAAAAAAAAAAAGATGCTGCTTTACACCCACTATAGTTTTCTTCAGATACGTGACAGTTAAAGCTAATTCAAAGTATGTTTATGCAGAAGAACGGGTACAGAAAGTCAGTTTAGCAAGTTAAGGCAGTTACGTATTGTATTCTATTACATTACTCCAAACTACTTGATTTTTTCTCCTTCAGCAAATCACCTTTTCTTACTTCCTAAGACTAAAAGCTGTTCAGTACTAACAAATCCCCACAGCACTCACTGAAAGTTGACTTTCAAATTATACGTGAAGACTCCATAGAAGAATTAATCAAAGTGTGTGGGAGTAAACCTTCTTCTTACATTTCTTAAAACTGTAAATCTTCCAAGAAAAATATTTGTGAAACTCTGGGCTGTGCATCTGTATACTGTAACTGAAAGAAAATGGAACTCAGAAAAAAAGAATACTGACATTTTTTCTTCTTTCTTCAGCACAACAATCAAATCAAATGCTACTTCAAGATCCAAACAATTTGCTCCCTATTTAGTCCAGAAACTAAATCAGACAGTAAAGGACAGACAAAACAACTCTTGGAATGATTGCTGATTTAATTTTTCCCTTCTTACTCCAGTGCTCCAACTGTTTTCCATTCAGCACTGACCCCATCTTCACACCACGCTACTTCTGGCGTCAGGTAAGTTCTCCTGTCACTGACAGCACAAAACTCATCCGGAAACCTGTGCACAGCACGAGCAGGATGAGGTCCAAGAAAAATCTGTGGAGAGCCAAGGGAATGACAAGGAGACTGCTTGCAGCACAAAGGACCACTATTCACACATCTTAAAGCTCTATATGCATAGTCACATGAGGATAAGATCTATCCTTGGTTACAGCCTTACAGTCACGCCAGAGAACAGACACACATATATAAATCAAGCCAAATTTGGCTCAGTTTACTTACAGTAGGGGAAGAAACCTTGACTGCCTATATCCAAACTAAGGATACAAAATGTAGCAATTGTACAATAGTACCCTCTAAAACTTCATTCCAATTATAGTTGTGTTTATTACCAGGTCAGGAGATAGGAGACACTTAAAAAAAGCTTTCCTTAAAAAATTCAAGTCACAGCCCATGATCTCAAACACTTTTTGTCCTCTTTGGTTTCCCAAGCACCTCTGCTCATCTTCAAACACTACATAATTCATTTTAACTCAGCCTTATCAGGTTGCTGAATAAAGGATGTGAAAGTCAGACGGCTGTAAGTTGAAAAAATATATTCAGTGCCTCCTTATTGCTGCTGTCACTGATTTAGCTGTTCCCATGGTAAACTTAAATACCACCACTGAAAGCTGCATCACCTATCAATTCACAAGTTGGGAAGTGTGGTGTATGGAGATTTGATTTAACAGATCCCAGAACTGTCTGGTTGAAGTATGTGGCAGTTCAAAGCTGAAAGATGGATTTCGGGGGGTTCTTTCCCCCCTCCTTTTTTTTTTTTTTTTAAACTTGTATAATCTCAAGAATAAGACATATGGCAACATTTCCAAGTTGGTTTCAAAGAGATTTTGATTTCCCACTTACTTTCTCTAAGTGTGAATTACCTAAGAAGGTGTCAGAAGTTCCTCGAAAAATCCATTTAACACTGGTTGTCTTTAGAAAAAGAACTTCTAGAGAGAAGCTTCCACTTTTTTTTTTTAATGATTTTGACAGCTCTATAGCTGAAGCCTCTGACTTGACTACCCATATGACACATCACAGCACACATGAATTAGTTTTTTTACAATCGTTTCAATTCAGAAAAAAATTACACTTCCTCGTTAATACTGAGACAAAAACACCCTAAGAAAGAGCTCATCCCCAGACTAGAAAGATATTTTAACAACAGAAATTGCATAGGTAAGTGCTAATGTCTCCTACAAAACCTCTTCCTTCAGTAAATACCTATTAAAAAATCAAATGTATTCTCATCTGTTGACATGATTTCTCTAAATGTCTTTCCTTTAATAAAACACTACCTTTGCCATTAGCAGACCAGTAGTCAAGTGAAAATATGTAATGCATTTTGAGAAATAAACATGGAAAAAGCCAATTTTTAAAACCTAATTTAGACTAAACAATCCCATGTTTGTAGTCTTCCCTTTTCATTATTCCCATCCAAAAAACAGCAAGCAAAATATTTTAATAACAATAGAAAAAAAAATACTTTTTAACAAGTAGAACAGAAATTCAAAGACTTGAGTACCCCGAAGATCTCTTAAAATAAAAGTAATTCTTCACTACTAGTGCTCGAGTTGTTATGAAGCTCCCAATAACACCACATCCAATACATGAAACCAAACCGTTCTTTTTGGTGTACTTGGAACACTTCTTGAATTTGAAAATCTAATACCACAAAATGAATCCAAACCAGTCAATTACAATTAGTGACTTTGTGATCCTGTATTTCTGGGACAACCATAACTAACTTACGTTAGAACGTACATATTTTATAAGATATAGTGTGAACTCAGGTCCATTAAACATGCCTTAAATCCTGTATTCAAACCCAGAGGTATTCAGAATAGCTGTCTATATCTGGGAAGACAGATCACCATGTCCACATTGCAGAATCAGTTTTCTTATACTCCTACATGCAAGAATATCACCTTAGTACACACAATACCCCTCGGTTCATGATGGGGAAAAAGGCATAGAAACAGGCCAAGAAATTTGATGTAGCTAAGTGATTTTCAGTCAGCCCACACAGAACATTAGGGGGAAGAAAGCATTCCTCTGAGCAAGCATTAGCACTATTATTAGCAGCATCTAAACTTATTTAATATAATTATTCCAGTATCTATTCCAGCAAGCAATACAAATTACACTTGCCCCTTAGACAGAAAGGCAGACACAAAATTATGAACACGATCCTCCCTCCGCATTCTATTTATCTTCACCAGAAGTAAGGAAAACAGGGTTGAAAGTATTCCTGGAAACTAAAGAGAAAACCAAATCTTAGTTTAAGAGAGGCCATTTTAGACATCGTGGTTATTGTGCCAGAGCTGTGTGTTCAGTGAAAATGGACTGTAGGTGATTTAGAAAGACGCAGAAAGCTGCATCGCAAATAAAAAGTAGCAAGATTTCAGTGTGACATTTGTCCACTGAATACAGAGAGATCAGGAAATCACCACTGCCCGCCATCAGCAAGGAAAGAGGTGTGTGGCCCTGCCTTGCACCAGGCGCACTTCTTGAATCACACTTCCCAGGACACGGAACCATCAAAATAAACTGACCTGGGCATTTCCAAGTTTCTAAACTAACGGGGCAATCATGGGATGTAAAAAGCACTTGGCTTCAGACCACTGAAAATCTGTAGTTTTATTTGTATCACATTTTGTGATACATACTGTATCACAAATTTTGTATCACACATGGTTCACCTGAAGAGAAGGCTCTGGGGCGACCTTACAGCACCTTCCAGTACCTGAAGGGGCTACAAGGAAGCTGGGGGGGACTTTTTACAAGGGCCTGTAGTGACAGGATAAGGGGTAATGGGTTTAAATTGGAAGCGGGGAGGTTTAGGTTAGTTATCGGGAAGAAGTTCTTCACGGAGAGGGTGGTGAGGCACTGGAACAGGTTGCCCAGAGAAGCTGTGGATGCCCCATCCCTGGAAGTGTTCAAGGCCCGGCTGGATGAGGCTTTGAGCAACCTGGTCTAGTGGAAGGGGTCCCTGCCCATGGCAGGGGGGGTGGAACTAGATGATCTTTAAGGTCCCTCCCAACCCAACCCATTCTATGATTTTCCCACATTCCCACAAACAGGTAACCTCATGCTGACATTTCAGAACAGCACCACTCCGGTCATACGTGCAACATGTGGGTGAAGCCCTACTAAAAGCTGCTGAAACACTACTGAAAAGCAGCCCTATTTAACATGGCGTTATACCACCACGCCCAAGACAGGAACTCCTTCAGCCTACTACTCATCTCTTTAAGGAGGGCTACCGCTGAAACAAAGTGTTTCCCCTTCAGACAGAAATTGGGTACATGCTAAAATCTAATGATGCTGGTGAGGGACCGACTCTGACAAACTTCCAGGAGTTTTGAATTCTATTGCTGTAAACTCACACAAGAAGAATCTGTCCCTGCATGTATAAAATAAAGACAGTAATGATTCTCAGAAGAGCAGTTGTTTAGAACAGGTTTTTAAGGTGTGTTACAGCTTACCCATAACAAAATTAAAGCAAAAATCTCTCAGCAAGTGTGAGACTTCTGAAAGAAATTAAAGTAGAAATTCTCCTCCAATGTCAAATGAAACATGTTACATTGAACTAGGCTAATAATGACTCACTTGCTGATCTTTTTAATTAGCTTATCTATTTACTTACATGCAATGCATTTGAGTCTTAACTCCTGAAAACGGGCATTTCTGCCACGATCAATTTTTTCTTCTAACAGTGTCAAACACCGATTCTCCCGTTCCCTCCACCCCTGGGTCTCAGAGGAACAACCATAGCTGGTTATGTGTACTCTGACATCTTTCAGGATTTCTGTCATCGACTATGCAGTGATCATAGAATCATAGAATCATAGAATGGTTAGGGTTGGAAGGGACCTTAAAGACCATCTAGTTCCAACCCCCTGCCATGGGCAGGGACACCTTCCACTAGACCAGGTTGCTCAAAGCCACATCCAGCCTGGCCTTGAAGACATCCAGGGATGGGGCATCCACAGCTTCTCCGGGCAACCTGTTCCAGTGCCTCACCCCCCTCTCTGTGAAGAATTTCTTCCTGATATCTAATCTAAACCTCCCCGCTTCCAATTTAAACCCATTACCCCTTGTCCTATCACTATATCATAGTGACTATGCCAGCTCAATCTTTGGGAATACAGTCCAGTAATGAAATGAATCTGTGATCAATAAAATTATGAAAAAGCTACATAAATAAAATAAAATGTTTTATACTAATGTTATTTTTAATTTCAGAATAACGTACAAGTAAGGCTGATAACATCAAAGCAATCAATTACTAAGGAAGAATAAGCTGATGATTTATCGTAATAAATCCACATGTAAAAGCCATTTGACTCATCCAGAAGTTATCCCATGCATATATTACTATTCATACACGAATCCATGAAAACTGTATTCAGAGTCTAGGCTTGCCCTCACATTCTACTTGCCTTCATAGCAGCCTAGCTTGGTTAGTACAACAGCACCAGTGAGTGTCTGGGACCATCAGCAGCAGTCACCAGATCTCTGAAACAGCATTTTTGTACTGCCCCATTCCAGAGGGCATTACCAAGAAGTGGAGACACTGAATGACATGCCTGAGCCCACCCAGAAAACCTGTGGCAGATGAGCTGTGTACAGTACCTATAGCATCTTCACCCCCGATTTTCCTCCCACCATTTTCACTGTTTTCACCAACCACAGGGTCATTCAGGCTGGAAGGCATCTCTGGAGGTCTCTGGTCCAACCCCTGCCGCAAGCAGCTCCAGCTAAAGCAGGCTGCTCTGGGCCTTGTCTAGTCAAAATCCAAGTATGTCCAAGGTTCACATCCATTATCCAACAATCAACCTCCAAGTAGCCTCTGTTGGATTACTTGATTTTAACTACACAGGCTATCAATGAAAAAGCCAGGACTATACCCCCAAAAATCCAAGGTTAGACCACTTGATGTAATGATCAAACTGCAATGTTTCCTCTCCAATTTAAACTAAAGGAATTAATTTACAGTCATGTGATCTGTAGTACAAGTGTCTATGTGCAAGATAGTATTTCTTAGGTAGTATCTTTTTTTCTTCACGGAAAGGTCCTTTAGAAAATTACAAATAAAAAAGCAGAAGCCAGAGCAAGACCAATACAGGTAGCAGGGAATACTACATAATCATTAAAGTGCCTACAACACAGAACGAGTTAATGTGGGAAACAGAAGAAAACTTACTACTGCTTAAAGCTAATACTGATAACCAAAATGTTTTGATATCACTTAACTTGAGGATGACCACTATGATCTTCTAAATACCTGGTGTTTTATCATGTCAGCATCCTAAAAATTGAGCCATATTCAATAAAACATTATACAACACCTTTTAGGAGTACACTGCTATGGAGTCTAAACAAAAAGTAGAAATCTGTTTATAAAAACCTATTCAAAACTCTATGAAAGTTTTGATTTCACTAACGTGGCTTGGCCATGACTGTCCCCTTCCAGATTTTTTAATTCTTTTCTTATCTAGGCCTAAAAAAATACAGCATATAAAAGCCGTCAAGAATTTGACATCAATTTACAATGTAGTAGGTAGGCAGGCAGGCAGATAGATCAATCAACTTTTTAAATTTAGTGTGTATGGTTTACTGTGAAAGGAGGTATTTTTCATGAGAGACAGGAGTTAAGGATTTTCTGGTTTATTTTTGGTTCTCACATCTTTCTCACAGATCATGATTCATTCACTAGTCTTCAAGGAAGATCAGTGCACATGAGTATTTTTAAGCACAGTACTTGCACAGTTTAGCACTTATTTGCTGCAATAAGATTAGATCTAATGAAGGCTCCCTATTTCCCCCCACGTAATACGCTCAAGGAGCTGTTGAGAGCCCTACAGCTCAAGCTGGACTCAAGTTCTGCCGACACCAAGCTGCAGAGCAGCATGCAGGATGGGGACCATCTCCAGATCAGACTGAACTTACGTTCCTAAATGGAATTTTCAGGACAGCGATGTAGAGGTTGATGAACTGTAGTAAAATTTTAGAAAGACAGGCTAAAACTTTTTATTTGATGTACACATTATGTGGCACGTTTTTATGGGCACACGTAGTACAACTGGAAGTCAGAAGAGATGTAAATAATTCTGCTGTGCTCTCCTCTCCCTGTGAAATTTGCAGTCACACCCGATATGTGGAATTTGGAGGACTGCAAAAGAAAGCAAGTTTAACCGCACAGAGGTTCTCTCTTATAAACTTTACTAATGTAAAATCCATTTTGCAAGCACAATATTCTTTTCATTACCACCTTCTACCTACTCTGTCAAACAGAGGCATAACTTTTGGGCCTCCTGGATAAAACCATGACCAAATATCCTAAGAAGTAGCAACACGTAGAAATGCTTTGTTTTCCTTGTTGTGGAAAATCTATTCCTTTTTGTGCTTGAGGTTTTTCAAGACTACTTCAGTTTACTGACAGTGCATGAATTACTACTCTGCTTCCAATTGTTGCTAAATTACTAAGAACTGGAAATAACATTTAGAAATTTTAAGTAAGGCACTTCTGAGAAAGACTTCCTAGGAAACACAGCCTCTCTAAAAAGTAAAACAATATGTTAATGTTTAAAATCATAAAAGGTAAAGAAACAAGTCAATTAATAAAGTAGGAGGACTACCAGAGCTATAAAAACCCTGGGCATTTGAAAGTAAGAGGATTCCTAATCAAGGCAAACAAACCTTTGAACACAGCATTTCAGACATCCCATCCTTCCAGGCTCCAAGCTGAACAAAACTTTCAGTTTTAAGTGTAAAGCCCATATATACCTCATAAATTATAAAAGACTTCTGAAGGCTTTAAGCTAGGCTCCAACACACAATTAGAAATTTCAGGATCTAACTTTCCCTTATGATAGCAGGCAGCAACCATGACATATTTTATCATACCTGTAAGTTGCACAGTGTGTTACTTCTTAACTCCTGCTATGTGTTTTAAGTACCTCAAAAATTTTATCCTCAGACACTCACGGAAACCCAATTATGCTTGGTATGGAAAGCTAACCAGAATGTTTTTCCAGAAAAATCATTCAAGCTAACTTTCAATTATCTAAGTGTCAATTACCATAGTTTTTTCTTACTTATTTAATAGGTACAACAAAACACTTCCATTATTTTTTTTTTTTACCTAGTCATAAATAAGTTGCCAAACTGCCTGCAAAGAATGCTGTAATTTACAAGGAGAGACCACCTGAGAAAATTAAACAGAGCACAATTATATGTAAAAATATACATATTTATATGT